TCCGGCCCTATATGTATCTGGTCGCAGCTTGAGACAGATACATCTAGGGGGCCTAGCGTTCAAAAATTTGGACCGGATTTCGGCCCAAAAACTCAATTTCAATTTCGTTCAAAAAATATAATATGCCCGTTTTGACGAAATGGTTGTTAGCAGATGAACAGGCCCGGTAGCATCAGGTGGAGGTAACTCTTGCAACCAAGCCAGGAATTACTTCTACGGGAAAATTTGCCTTCGCGGTAATCTTTTCTCTACTTGGATTTTTGTTGTGTCGCGCGTTGCTGTCTTGAGCCTGGTTCTTGTAGAGGACAACGACGCAGTGAGACATTCCACAGTTACCGTCGCTTGTAGCAAGCGAAAATCCGGGTGTAAGTTTCCTGCTTGAACAAGGTAAAACTCCATCAGCAGCCACAGTTGTTGTAAACCCTCCTACCTGTTTAGGTTAATTTCTGTCTACCTACTCGAACTAACCATCTTTTACTAAGCAAACTAACTTTTCAGATTCGCGAAGCCACCGAGTAAGGCCCACCGGATTGGCGAACCGAGGAGCTGCTAGACCTCTTGACCAAATTCCTCGTGGTCTTTCCAGATCCCCATTCGCCTATGACGGCCAACACTTTGAAGAAACAAAGACCTTTCGCAGGGTGGTTTTTCTTGCACTTGGATTCGCGTTGGTGGATGAACCGGTGCCGACGAATAGGACAGGGACACAACCAGTAATGGATACCCAAGGTGTAGAAGCCCTCGGGAGTATGTTCGGAAGGCTGGAATTTTCGAAGGCCTTCCACTGCACCATTGTGCATTCTCTACTGGAGGTTCTCGAGGGACTCTCCGATGAGGGCTCTAGGGTGGCCGAAATAAAGATATGGCTAGACCAAGGACCTGCTGAATAGATAAGCAGAATCGTCGGAAAGACGGAGGCGGCAAGGATGATTCATCGCAACCAGAACACAATAGGAAGCAATTAAAAAACAAATAAAATGGATATGCTTGTCTGCTTACTTTTAACATTTACCAAGCTTTGTTGTTATCTACGGAGTCACGAAGATAAGTCTTCCTGCTAATTCTGTTTGTTTATAACTTCAGGAAATAGTCAATTTAAGCTCATCGTTGCTATCTGTCTGCTTGCTCTAAAACTGTTACCAAGTATCGTTGCTTATTAAAAGCTTGTGAGCTTCGATAATCGATTGTTTCCTCCGTTTTCAGTTTTCCTCTGCAACTTTTTGTAGTTTTTTGTTCGAAGAACCTCTTAACACTCCTCTGCAGTTTTTAATATTCATTTACAGTTCTGTACACTAAATCCCAAGGGCTTGTCAACTATTTCAATTTACAGGCTAGGATGGCCTTGCTTACTAAGAGCTTATTGCGCTCAATATCTTTAAAAAGTTCCTCTATCCTGGCCTGGTAGAAAGCGGTAGAGTACATTGCTTGAATCCCTGTTTTCCATTTATAAGACTACTTTGTATACCTTTCCGGACTGAATCGTAATGTGAATAGATCGTAATTTGTAACTAACCTCTATAATCAATCATCGAACCTCTTTTATCTGGTTTAAAGGGTATTAAAGATTCAGTTCACCACTATTTAACCCCGGCACCTTTCTCACTTCTTTAAAATCAAGTTGTTTTGAGATAGATCTCAGCCGACTATCATGTCCTTGATCAATCATCTAGAATAGACCAGACTCATTTTTGTGAGTTGCTCGACTTCGTTGCCTTACTAATATTAGTAAGGGTAAGGCTAGTAGCCGCCCTGCTCGCAGCACTCTCGTACCTGACGACCATTAAGTTTTTTATCTATGTGCTCTCAGGACTACGACCCCCCCAAAAAACAGAAAAAAGAGAGAGGGGGAGGCTTGCAGAAACCAAGAATCAAACCATCACCTAAGCATGACTCGGAGAACCTTTTGAACTCCTAGGATTGAAGTTAAAAGTTTGTAACCTTAAACTCTGAGGGGTTCCAGAAGGAGGGGTACCTGCGACAGAACAAACATGTGACGAACTACTTCCCGAACTTGTGTTATCTTTCGTACCCCTTTGGCTCGAATTTTTGTTGTACCATACCAACCCTACGAATACCCCGTTTGTTTTCTTGATTTTGGGTGCCGTGTTTTTGGCCCCCGTTTTGTTGAAAGCTTGGTCGCTTCTTGGAATTCTGCTTTCTGCAATTCAGAAAATACACGAGAATTTACACGCTCCTTAGCGCGAGCACTGGGAATTGGGCCCGACAGTTGGGAATTCCGGGATAAGCGGAACTTCGACGTGTCCTTTTTGTGTGTGAATGTTCTCGGTCGCGTTGGAGAAAACTCTTGGAATTTTGTGGGGATACGAATAGGCGTAGGACTTTTTTTCCCTGCGTTGCTCTTTCGCGCGCGGATATGGTGATTTCAATTTTGAATTAATTTAGGATGTACGCAAGCTGTAACTGTTTCGGTGCCTTTTTCTCTTTTTTGTTGTTGATGGCGCTGCACATGCAAAACTTTTTCCTCTCTATCCCCCGCATCGCTCTCTCCCGCGCTCCTTTTTCCTTCCTCCTCCTCTTCCTCTCGCCTCGTAACTATTTTCTCCCTCTCTCTCTCTCCCGCTCTGCTTTTTGCGCGCCCATTTCCCTTTCTTGATCATCTGAATCTTGGACCCGTCTTGCGCTACCTCTCGCGCCTTTTCTATTCTCGCCCTTCGAGCAAAGCATGCAAAGTCCGGTCGATCCTTCGATTACTCTCGCCCACCAATCAGATGCGTGGTACGGTAGGATTTGCCTATTGCGCGACGGGTCTGATTGGCCAATTGTTGAGTTCCGAAGGATCAACATGGCTTCTGTAGCGCGCTTCTCGCCAAGTCTTCTCCTTCTGCTTCTCTTCTTACACTTCGAATTTCCCCCTGCATTCTCTCTCCCTTGTCTCCTTCCTCGCCACTATAAATTCCGCAAACGGGCCCGCAAATCTCTCTTACGTTCTCGACTTCCAAGCCAGCTTCCGGGAAGCAGTGGCTAGGCAGAGTGTTTGGTGCGAGTCGGAAAGTCCTGTCGGGCTGACGATAGGCTGGCTGGTTGCGCGCTTGATTGCCACGACGGACTGTGGGATCTGGGTGAACCGTGTCGAGTTTATGTCGGCGGGGTGACGATCACAGTGGTGGGAGTTAGCACGCGACGGCCGGGATCGTCGGTGCGGGTATGAGGATCGATGATTGGAGTTGAGTGAGTGATTGGCCCAGGGCCATATTGGAATTGACGGCGAATTCGCCTTTGTATTTGCGGATCGTTATCTCTGGCGTGAGTGTACGGCGGCAACGCCGAACTTCCTTCTTTCGGATCTCGTCATCTCCTATCCCGACTTTCCTCCCTCATCTCCCTCTCTCTCTTCTATCTTTGAATGATGATATGTCTCAGTGTTGTCCCCCCCTTGGATGGGAATGAATATGTGTGCTTTCCGGTGTGAAAGAACTTCTTCCGGAACTCTTCCATTAGTTTTCTGGGTAAACCCCATATGTCGAGGAATTGCTCATCTTGTCTTGTGAACGGTGGATGCGTGTGTACCATTCCCTCGGTTGATTTCTGACTCGTATACCCCTGTCATTATCGCACCTTCCACAGTGAACGTATGTATGGAGATGCTTGCCTTTTTGTATTGATTAGACGCCGCCCTCGGCGGGATTTTGTCCGAGAATGCAAGAGTGTTTAGATCTGTAGTTCTGAATTCACTACGCATGCCATCTGCCTTATGCTGCACGGTATCTGCAGACGACAACACCGCGGTGGCTTGCGGAAACCTGAGTCGCGGGTCGGTCCCTCAGATTACATGCATGATCGAGCTGATGAGTGTTTTCTCTCTTTCTCTCGTGTCGAAAATGATTGATTGGTGATTGCGCGAGTGTTTTTCCTTGATGACATCTCGGAATTTTTGCAATTGAATGACATGTGGACTGACAAGCACCCTTCGATCGTCCGTCAGCCTCCCGTATCCCCCGTATCAACACGACCTTTTCCTTACAATGAGGAAAGGACACGTGTATGCGAGTGAGACGTACGAGAAGCCGTCGCACGAATCGGCCGGCAATATCACTTTCCTCCGGAAAACCGTTGTTCAGGGTTTGTCGAGGCTGGGTTTGTCATTATCGATACACACTTTCCACCCTACTCGATATTGTTGCTATTCAACGAGTTGATAGTCACGCCGTGGACGACAGTAGAACCCCACTGGCGGCGCACACTATGCACCGAATGCCAGCGCTTTGAGTGCTACGAAACCAGGGGTTTCCACTACCGTGTGCGGAGTGAAGACGAAGATAGAGAAAGAGTCACGCGACTAAGACCATCCACGTCGGATTCCGAATTGGTTAGTGAACGACGATGTGCATTAATACGGAAACGAGACACGGGAAGCGTGCCGAAGCCTTTCTGTTCTAAACGACGGGCCGTAGCCAGGTGGGAAGTTCGACAATATTTTCTGGATTGAATTTGTATTTCTCTCTATTCTCGCGCCAAACTTCCGGGCGCCTTTTGCGTCGCTCGAAGAACGATCGACTTACTTCATCGGACGAACACGGGGGATTTCAGTTCCCTCTGTGTCCCCACACTCAATTTCCAAAAATCCTTGGCACACCCCATCTTGCTGTTTTTTTTTGGGCCTCTTTCCGCACATCTAGCACTCCGAACGAAAAACAGCACAGGGCGTAAGGTTGGTATCGGAGCCGACACGTGTCGGTTGTGATGATAGTGAGTCGAACTGGCGAGAGGTAGGAGAAGCCCTCAACCAGCTCGTCGAGATCGCCCAGTGACCAGGTCTCGATCTGGTGCGGTTGCACCCGCAATGCCAATGGCAGACGGTACTAGAGTGATCGTTAGCATTCCTGCCCCTTTTCCCTTCTTCCCTAACCATACCCATCCCGAGGCTTGGTTGGACGCTGTCGAAGCTCAAGGCTAGAGCGTGGGTGATCTTCCCCGCGTTCTTACCTTGCTACTTCGCAATACGTCGTATGATTGGTTTAGAAAGCATACGTGGGTAGATTGGAATACCTTCAAGCAAGCTTTCTTGGCTCGATTCGATACAGTCAGTGAAGATGCCGCCTGGTACGTGCTCAAAACTCGGCCACAAGGACCAGGAGAATTGCTGCCCGATTTTGTGGATCGATTTCAAACCACGTTGGATAAATCTGGGCGAGATGAGAAATCCGCTCGAGACATCGATCACCTACGAAGTCCGGCGTTGAAAGGAAAGCTATAGAAAAAGGTCCCACCAAAGACACACCAGCTATCTGCTATCATCGCTAAAGCATTGAAACTAGACCTGGTTGATACAAAGAAATACATCAGTCAGGGAGACAAAGATATTACAGATACCATACAGGATGTAGCAGCTAAAAGACAATCATGGTTGCGGGCGGTAGAACGGTTTTATCCCCGCCCCGACCATGACCTTCCCTACGGGATCGCTTTTGATATCCCGCCTGTCTCTTCTTCCTCTCCCCCAACGAATCAACCGATAGCGGCAGTTAAGAGCAGAATCCCCCACGAACCTCCCTCGCCGGCCGTAACAAACCTACATCTTGCCCAAATGATCCACACGGCCACCACTAAGCAATCTCAATGGATGAGCAACCTGGTTCAAATGAAGGCAGCTCACATGGAGCGGATGAAACAAATAATGATCAGGCTAATTAAGCCTACCGGCCCCTGCTCGACCTGCCCCCACGTCATTTCCTCTCTTGCCTGCCCCGCCTGCACCTGGCTATCCACCACAGTTCCCTCACCCAGCTAATTCAACAGGAAAGATCGAGTGTTTTAACTGCAAACAGCCCGAACATTTTGCCCGGGACTGTCCGCAGCCAAAACGTAATCAACCCCCGCCGGCTGCGGCCCCTGTCGCTCTAAACCAAGGATGAATGGCCGCATTGATGGACACGGCCCAAGGAGGAGAACTCGTGGCATATGAGCCGCCTTCCCTCTCAACGGCAATAGCGTCAACATAGGGATCTCCTTCCTCTGACGCTGCTGACGTGGTCGATCCACTCGAGTATCTTCATCTAGCGGGCATGATCGGGGCGATCCGATCGGCCCCCGATGATCTTGAATGGGTCGATTGCGATTCTAATTCCGGTCCACAGTTTAGGACGGGCGAAATCGATGTGTTACGAGCGCTCAAGCAGCTAGATATCTGTGTTCTGATTCCGGTGGGACACTTGCTCACTATATCTGAAGCTGCAAACGACAAGTTGTTACAACAATTTCAGAAGAATCAAAAGCGCTTCACATACCAGCGCGTACAGCGAATGTTAAAAAAAAAGGAGGAGGAAAAAGAGGATGTTGCGCCACCAGAACCTGAAACGGGCGAACCCGAAGCCGCACGTATAGCAGCGATCTCTTTAGCAGAAAAGGATCACTTCGTACCAGCTCGGCCGGTACTGTGGAAGAGCGTGGAATGTGATTGTGAAGTTTGGGGCAAGCCGTTTAACGCCCTTATCGACACAGGGTCTTCTGCCGTGGCCATATCATTAGACACTGTCAGAAAGACGATACGACTAGGATCCATTCTTCCTCAATCTGGCAAAGACAATTACGTCTCTGCCGACGAGGAAGCAATGAACATCGTGGGCATTATTGAGAATGTGGTTGTAAAAGTCGAACGAGTACACGTCCTTGTTAACGCGCTCGTGATAGATGTGCGCTCCAATTCCGTACTATTAGGATTACCTTGGGCGATGGCGGTAGGGGCCCGCCTACATTTCGATTCAAAACAACTGGTGCTCACGCAAACTGGGGGAAAACCTCAAACTGTTCCCTTGCGAATTTCCACCCGAACGATAAAACGAACTCCTAACTCAACCCAAATAGGGATGATTCGATGCATTGATCCCGATGAGTATTCTTCCTCGGACATCGATAGCGGAACCGGGGAACAAGAATACGAAGAAAAATTGCCTAGTGAGGATGAATGGAAGCACCTGGTCAAACTTTTCGAACACTAAATTCCCGAAGAATTTCGAGTGTGCCCCGACACTGCCCGAAGCTTCCGTGTGGGTTCAGAAGACAGCGCGCTCGCGCCTCTGACAACCCAAATTAGTCCTTCAGTCCTCCTCGGGGAACCCATATTACAAGTATCAGAGCTGACCGATGATTTGGAACCCCCTCGTACCTTCTACGAATGAGCGTTTTCCTTACGAACGCGTTATCAACAAACGGAACAGTATCTAAACGTTTCTGTTTTCCCGCCCAGATCGTTACTAACGAAGGGGGCGACCATCGCTTTGATTAAGCAGGAAGCGGAAGCACCGGTAGATGACGTACCTGATCTAATGCAGGAAATGACGGACCTAACAGAACTTACTGTGGAACAGACTTTGGCCGGCTCAGAAACTGACGCCGAAACTAAAGAAACCGAAATGATCAGCCCCGCCGAATCACAGATGATTGCGACTGTCTTCTCTGTTCGCACCAGTAGTTCTGTTTTTTCAAGTGTCTACGATCGAAGGGAGAGGCCGGTTGATTGGATTGACATACCCCTTAAGACTTCTGGGGAATCAACGATCACCCTGCCGAGCCACGTCCCCACAGAACTTCGAAAATCACTAATCAATGTTTTGAACTGTTATGCAGAAGTGCTGAGCGTGCAGGATAATGATATCGGCTTTACTAACGTGATCGAGCATGTCATCCTCACAGGAGAACATCCGCCCATCAGCTGCGCTCCTTACCGATACTCGCCAGCTCAAAGAGCGGCCGCTTTTCAGCGGATTAACGAGTTCGAAGCTAATGGATGGATTGAACCCGCTATAGGTCCATGGTCTTTTCCTGTAGTAATCGTGCCTAAAAAGGCCGGAGGGATTCGTATTTGCATTGATTATCGAAAATTGAATGATATCACGATCAAGGATGTGTACCCCCTTCCCCATATTGACGAGTTGTTGGATGTGATTGGGAGTGCTCGATTTTTCAGTAAGTTTGATGTTCGCCACGGGTTCCATCATCTTCTTGTCCGAGAAGAAGATCGTCCGAAAACGGCGTTTGTGCTTTTCGAGGGCATGTGTCAGTGGATTCGATGTCCGATGGGTATCTGCAACGCCCCCGCGACCTTTCAGCGAGCCATAAATATGGTTTTTCAGAATTTCGTGCGGAAGACACGTTTGGCACAGAGCATCATCAACTACTACGTGATTGTGTACATGGATGACATTCTGGTGTACTCAAGTTCCTATGAGGGACACGTGCAGCACATCGAATGGGCGCTGCATGCGTTACGAGATGCGGGCTTCAAGGTGGCGTTTGAGAAGTGCCAGTTTTTCCTTAGCACCATTTCCTTCTTAGGATACGTGGTAACAGACAAGGGGCTCCAACTGGAGCTGCAGAAGGTGGCAGCTGTCAGAGATGCGCCCGTGCCTACGACTATCACGCAAGTTCGTGCCTGTTTGGGCCTGGCCTCGTACTACCGGAGATTTATAAAGGGCTTTGCGGCGATCGCGGGACCCCTCACGAATCTGATGCGTAAGGATCAGCCGTTGATTTGGACGCCGGAGTGTGATCAGACGTTTTCGAAACTCAAGGCTGCTCTCATTTCGGCTCCGGTCCTTATAAGGCCGGATCCCGAAAAGCCTTTCATCCTCATTACTGACTGGCAGCCAGAGGCAATTTCGGCGATCCTGGCCCAGGCGGGACCAAGTGGACTCGAGAGCGTGGTGGAGTATGCGTCCAAATCGGTGCTCGCCTGCAAGCGCAACTACGCTGCTCCAACGGGGGAATGCTACGCGGCACTCTGGGGAATCAGCCACTTCCGTGCTTACCTATACGGGCGGAAGTTCACCTTGGTAACCGATCATGAGCCCCTGTTGGCTCTGAAGAAATCGAAGGATTACTCTGGCATGATCGGGCGATGGGCAATGGTGCTACAGAGCATGGACTTTGACATTCGTCATCGGAAGCACGAGAGACATGGGAATGCGGACGAACTGACACGACTGCACCGGCCTGAGAAAGTTCCGAAAAGTGAGGAGGTGATTCCGTGGAACGAACCCGAACAGGAGGTTGGACCTCGCTACGGCCAAGTGGAGATCTTGTCGAAGAAGTAAGTGACACGAGGACCAATTTGTCTGTTCTACCCTCTCCGCAATTCGGTCCCATCTCTCCTCCTCTGTCATCATGACTACCCCACCTGTCTCTGCAACCCCTTCTTCTCCTACTAATTCTGCTCCTCTCACTTCCTCAGCTTTCTTTGCCACCCTCCTCGATAAATTCTGCTATTTTTGTACGTGTATTGCACGGGTTTATGGGGTCGACTGTCATCCTTTCGAAACCGGGTTTGTCGATTGGGTAGAATGTGCCACGTGTGTCAATCGTGCGCACGGGGCCTGCATTCGATATCAGATGAGTAGGAAGGAATGGAGGTGCCCCCTGTGTAGAACAAACAAAATCCTCATGGAGGTTCGATTTGAGGCCGCCCGTACGGACGGCCCTGAATACGACGAAAAATCCTGACGAGCGGAGGTTTGGACGGATAAAATTTTATTGGCGAAATTAGCAGGATTATCATTGGGACACCTCACCAAACACGACAGACGTAGGGCGACCGAGAGATCTCGGCGAGATCTCGGGACTATCGGTGGATTAACGGTCATTTGGAGAAGCGTAAAACTGACGGATCGGGTTCATGGATGACGGTTCCCCACCCATTCCAGAGATATGATTGGATCCGATCGGCTCACGAAGAACAGGCCGCTCATTTCGCGATACGTGTCACAGAGGCAACTATAGACCATAACCGATGGTTCTGGTCCAACATACGAGATGATGTCAGATACATTGTCGCCAACTGTCTGGTCTGTGCTGCTGATCGCGCCCCAATACGGGGACCAAACACGATAGTACCAACGGAAGTAGAGCGCCCCTTCCAGCGAGTGAGTATGGACACAACAGATATCGACGTGCCACCTGGCCTAAACCGCTGCTAATATTCTATCCTGTTAGTATTAATAGACCATTTTTCCAAATACATCGAGGTCTATCCCTGTAAGACCCGAAAAGCCGCAGAAATAGTCAGGTACATCGAACGGTTCCTCTATACCCATCTAGATATGGAAGAAATTATAACCGACAATGGGTCCGAATTCAAGGGAGAAGTAGAGGAACTGCTCGCACGAAGGGGTGTCACGCTCCGACATACGGCACCCCACGTGTCCCAGTCGAACGGGTTGGCTGAGAATGCCAACCGTATGATTAAAACCGCCCTTCGCAGGAATTTAGCGGCACACGACACGCGTCCGTGGCCCGAGATCGTATATCAGATCGTCGGGATCCACCGGGCCACCCCTCATGAGTCCACAGGGTTCACCCCCTTTCATCTTCGTACTAATAGCCTCCCCTGTGTCGACTAGCGGGGTAACTCAGAAATTGCCGAAGCAGGGGGTAGAGACACAAGTGCAGCCCTCAAGGCCAAGGCCAAAAGGTACACCGAATTAATGGAGCGGGCCGTCCCGAAGCTAGCCCGAAAAAGGCAAAGGATGACCGATCTGGCCCACGGTAGGCAGGTCTGTAGCTACGAGGCTCGGAATGGAAATGCTGGGCCCCAGCATCAATATAAATTAGGGGACCTGGTGCATGTACGTAAATGTGCACGCGACCGGAAACTCGCTCTTAAATTCTCTGGTTGCTTTCGCGTTGTCGAGCTCGATCCTAACGGTGCGAACACGGTGCGCATCGCGCCTGAGGCTTGTGCCAACCATAGCTCTGTCCCCATCGTCTGACATACCTCCTACCTTCGTCCTCTTCCTCCCTCTCATCTTCCTCCCTCTCCCTCCTCCGAAAGTGAGGAGAATGACGACGATCTAACTCTCTCTCCGCTCTCTCCCTCCTGCCCTTCGTCTTCCTCTCCGACCTCGCCATGAGTTTCATCACGGAGCGGGCTCTTGACGAACAGCTGTTGCAGCCACGTGGCCACCTCTCGGAAATTCGGCAAGTTCGTCATCCACGACTTAGTACGGACCTTCGGCGTTTAGCGCAGCTCTTCTGCGACGTGGGTGTGTGTGCCGCCGCCACGTTTCGATTCGAAGGGAGCTCACAGGCAGTGGTACTGGCGGAGGTAATAACAGTTCATCGGCGAGCGGCTCCCCGAACGAGCCACGTCACCACGGTTGAGGCTTTCAGCGGCGACATCAGTTCGCTCAATCCACGGTGGCATACCGCGATCTTGACCTCGCTGCGAGAGTGGAGGGAGCAGGTGTCCAACGTGTGGCAGCACGGTCTTGCCCGGCCAGGGCACAACCTCATCCCGACCTTTGCACCGGATCTTGGCGAGATCCGCCTTTCTCCACGCGAGCCGCCAGTTGCGATCCCCACCCTCGTCCCTTTCCTACGTCCCCAATGAACCACGTCGATCCCCTCGCTCCTCTCTCCATCTTCAGTCTCCCCTCTCTTTTCCCCACCTTCTGGCAGTCCAATCTTCATCCTTCTCTTTCCTTCTCATTTGAACCTCTTTCTGTCCCGCTTATTAATCCCGGGCATTGGCGACTGTGGCGCGAAACTTTTGGTGAGCTGTCCTTCTGCTTGGCCCGAGTACAGGTGACGTGGACGTTGACCAGCGAGCATCCTGCATGGATCGAAAATTTGGAGCTGCTGATCATACAAGCTTGGAGGACTAATGTCGAGGGCGATCTTCTCGGCTTTCTCTTTGGATCGGTACTCATGCAATTGGCGGACGATCTCTCGCCCGACATCTTTTCGCAAAGTGACGACAGCCCCGCTCCGTACATTCTCGAGCGGTCATTGGATCCGTACCTACAGTGGACTGGGTGCTTGGAGGAGCCCAGGGACGAAGATACGCTACCATCACGGCAGGAGTATCTGAAGCCTTACAACATCATCCCTCACGCCTTCTATCCGAAGGCGGAGGAAGTGGTGATCGACGACGACGCAGAAGACGACGATGAGGAAACGTCGGAGGAAGGAAGCTATAGCGAGTATAGCGAGGGCGAGTTGAGTGAAGAAGAGAAGGAAGAAGAAACCGGGTCTGAGTGGGAAGCCTTGCCGGAGAAAGCGGCGCGTACTGGCATGGAGGCGGAAGATCCTGAGGCCGCACGCAAGCGGGAAGAAATTGCCACCGGGAAGCGCCAGCTGGAGTTAGCCAGCGGAGCAAGCTTGCACATCGGGGACGATCCGACCAGGGATCCGGAGCCGCCGAAGCCCGAAGATTGCGACTCAGCAGCCGCCACCCCAAGCGTCGCGCGACGGAGACGAAGCCGATCCCCCTCCTCCTCCAGCCCCACCCGTCCCCCAGTTCGCCCATGTACCGATGCAGGCGATAGGCCTTCGTCCTCGAACGTTATCCCGCCGTCCCCTTGATTTTCTCACCCTCGAACAGATCCGCACCCCCGTCACCTTCCCCCTCCATCCCTTCCTTCCCCATCTCTTCCGCGACTTCTAATCTACCCGCCTACTTGCTACCGTCTACCCCCACCCATCCCTTCAGCCCGCTGCCCCCACGTTCTGTTGGCATATTCTGTTGTTCAGCGCTGCATGGGAACGATGCAACGTGGTAGAAGTCTACTGCGTAGCCACGGGGAAAATCCCCGTCTGTCGCCACTACGAGTTCTTTCGAGCGGTGCTCCTCCGCACCCCCTCCTCCTTCTATCGCGACTACCTCGCCTCTCTCCCTCATAGCGGCGATCGCTTTCCTCGCTTCCACCGGATCATCCGATATGAGGAGCTTCCGGTGACGGTAGAAGGGATGAATCGCTACCTACCCCCACTTCCTCCACTTCGTCCCCGTGAGCTCCCCTCCATGTACCGCCTCTATTGGCCCATTCCAACTAGGCGGTAGATCCCGGTCACGTGACTATCCCCCCCCCCCTCCTCTCTTCATCTAATCGGCAGGGGAAAACGACACGAATCAGTAAGCTTCGCGAAGATCACGCCATCGACGATGACGCTAACCTACGCTCTGATTCGACGGGCAGTGACAAACTGGGGTGCAGAGCAGACGGAGAACCGGCGGACGATGATGGTGTCACCTGGACGACCATCGATAGTTCCAGCGGCACGAGCCAACAGATCCACGAAAAGATTGCAATTGAAGATGGCGTCAACATGGACTCTGGCTGGATCGTTTGTTGATACGCTTGGTTCCTCATTCATCACTCTGTTCTATCTCTTTCTCTCTCCTTCTCTGCCATAACATGCAATCAAGAGATCGCATAATTTTGGAACCCCCTGCGCGTCACATATGTGACGAACTACTTCCCGAACCTGTGCTATCTTTCGTACCCCTTTGGCTCGAATTTTTCTTGTACCATACCAACCCTACGAATACCCCATTTGTTTTCTTGATTTTGGGTGCCGTGTTTTTGGCCCCCGTTTTGTCGAAAGCTTGGTCGATTCTTGGAATTCTGCTTTTTGCAATTCAGGAAATACACGAGAATTTACACGCGCCTTAGCGAGCGCACTGGGAATTGGGCCCGACAGTTGGGAATTCTGGGATAAGCGAAACTTCGACGTGTCCTTTTTGCGTGTGAATGTTCTCGGTCGCGTTGGGGAAAACTCTCGGAATTTTGTGGGGATACGAATAGGCGTAGGATTTTCTTTTCCCGTGTTCCTCTTTCGCGCGCGGATATGGTGATTTCAATTTAGAATTGGTTTAGGATGTACGCAAGCTGTAACAGTTTTGGATCTTTTTTATCTTTTTTGTTGTTGACGGCGCCGCGCATGCAAAGCTTTCTCCTCTCTGTCCCCCGCATCGCTCTCTCCCTCGCTCCTTTTTCCTTCCTCCTCCTCTTCCTCTCTCCTCATAACTGTTTTTCTCCCTCTCTCTCTCTCCCGCTCTGCTCTTTGCGCGCCCATTTGCCTTTCTTGATCATCTGAATCTTGGACCCGTCTTGCGCTACCTCTCGCGCCTTTTCTCTTCTTGCCCTTCGAGCAAAGCTTGCAAGGTCCGGTCGATCCTTCGATTACTCTCGCCCACCAATCAGACGCATGGTACGGTAGGATCTGCCTATTGTGTGACGAGTCTGATTGGCCAATTGCGGAGTTCTTAAGGATCACTATGGCTTCTGTAGCGCGCTTCTTGCCAAGTCTTCTCCTCCTGCTTTTCTTCTTACACTTCGACTTTCCCTGTGCATTCTTTCTCCCTTGTCTCCTTCTTCGCCACTTTAAATTTCGCAAACGCGCCCGCAAATCTCTCTTACGTTCTCGACTCCCAAGCCAACTTTCGGGAAGCGGTGGCTAGGCAGAGTGTTTGGTGCGAGTCGGAAAGTCTTGTCGGGCTGACGATAGGCTGGCCAGTTGCGCGCTTGATCGCCACGACGGACTGTGGGATCTGGGCAAACCGTGTCGAGTTTACGTCGGCGGGGTGACGATCGCATTGGTGGGAGTTAGCACACGACGGCCGGGATCGTCAGTGCGGGTATGAGGATCGATGATTGAAGTTGAGTGAGTGATTGGCCCGGGGCCATACTGGAATTCACGGCGAATGCGCCTTTGTTGTTGCGGATCGTTATCTCTGGCGTGAGTGTACGGCGGCAACGCCGAACTTCCTTCTTTCAGATCTTGTCATCTCCTATCTCGACTTTCCTCCCTCATTTCCCTCTCTCTCTTCTACCTTTGAATGATGATGTGTCTCGGTGTTTGTCTCCCCCTTGGATGGGAATGAATATGTGTGTTTTGTGGTATGAAAGAACTTCTTCCGGAACTCTTCCATTAGTTTCATGGGTAATCCCCATATGTCGAGGAATAGCTCCTCTTGTCTTGTGAACGGTGGATGCGTGTGTACCATTCCCTCGGTTGATTTCTGACTCGTATACCGCTGTCATTATCGCACCTTCCACAGTGAATGTATGTATGGAGATGCTTGCCTTTTTGTATTGATTAGACGCCGCCCTCGGCGGGATTTTGTCCGAGAATGCAAGAGT